GGATCTGTTCTCACCCTATATACCAGTGCATATACCTTAGTTCTAAAACCACTTTGTTAATGGGAGAACCTCAGAGTGTTTCTGCTAAGATAAGTAACAGGAAAGGGATGCACGTTATTTCTGTTGTTATGTAGTATTGTACTAGATGTAGCAGCCATACAGTTTGACAAGAAAAGAATCAATGGAGTCATGAGAATTTGCAGAGATAAACTATCTACTTTGCAGTTAGCATGATAGTACACAAGTGTTTAAAAACACTAGAGCATTGCTGATAAATGAATTCAGGCAATGAAATATTAAAAAATAGGATGTAAAATTAATAGGCAGATGCTTCAACATACACAAACAGAAGCCAGGAGAAAAAATTCTGTTGCTAGCAAAATTCCTCTTTTAAAATAGGATCAAGGATAGGAATAAAGTTAATAGTGTGCAAAACTATGTGGAGAAAATGTGAAATTCACAAAATAAATTTGATCAGACGTCCTTTATTCTCACAGAGAACAAAATAATAAGATAGTGGCTTTTTGTAAATTTGACTAATCATATAAATATCTAAAAAGCTTTTATAATGAGATTATATAAATTGATGCCACAGTTCAATTTATACAAGTTCATACAGAAACATGCAAGAATATTCAGCAAAACACTGTAAAAGTGCAATGACAAGCAAGAGCCAAGCCTTACCAGACATCTAAACATGTACAATTTTGTTCTTTCTGCTGAGAAGGTATAGCAGCTGTGATACTCAGCATCAGAGAATGTACCTTGTATCTAGAACTTGGTTGCTCAGGTACCAGAAAAAGAACCAGGAATTCTTGGAAACAGGATTAATTCTAATCTTGGAGCCAGGTAAATACAAGATAAATCTGAAAGTATGTCAAAATGTATATGTACCAATTTGATTATATCTGGTACAATTTGGGTGACAAAAATAAGACTGATGAATTATATCCAGTAGAATAAAACAAATACCTTATAAGTTCATATTGATATGAGTAAACATGTAGGGATGCTTCTTACAATATTATTCTAATTAATATAAACTCTTAAATAGAAGGGCTCATGGAAATAGAAAAATATCCATTTGCCAAATACCATAGAGATAATTATTGTGAGAAAAAATGCTAAATTAGTGAGTAAAAATATGGTGAGTCTCAAATGATCTCCCCACAGATCTATTTATTGCAAAAAAAATTATAACTTTACAATGGAGATATTTGGCAGGTACCACCAAATGATCAGAGTTAATGTTGCCAATAGTAAAAGGTTGGCATTATGTTTCTTCTGACATGCACTGAGAAAGGTACAACTTCTGTGGTCTTTAGTCCCCCAAAATTGTAATCTTATTCTAACATAACAAATCATGAACCTAAATTGAGTGACATTGTTCAAAATAGTTGGCCGATACCCTTCAAAAGTATGATCATTTACAAGATACAGAATTGATGGGAGGAGATTAAGGAGGCATAATAGTGAAATGCAGAGGGTGTCTTACATTGAATCTTAGAAAAAAAGGAGGACATGAGTGGGATAATTGATGCAAATGAGATCAGGTCCTTGGACTGTTATTGAATCCATATTAATTTAACTCTTAGAACTGTATTTTGAGTTCTTATTCAAAGATTCTTAAATGTGTATAATTTTTGATTTTTTGCTCTGTAGGGTAATATGAAGTCTTTATTACTCAAGTAGATTCTCAGACCTCCCAAAAATAATGGTGATGTGAGTTTAGGTTAGATTATGCCCACTTTTTCTTCACTTGTGTTTCCACTCTTAGATGGTAGTGCTGGATGATAAATAATTGATTTTTTTCAAACTGTTTAGTAGGAGTATAACATTAAGTGAATTATAACCACCAATTAAAAATTATAGAAAAGTTCAGTATCACAGAATGAATTCAAATATAGTTTTATAAATGTTCATTTCAGTTATACCAAGTATATGTTGCGTGTGTACTGACTACTTGCTTAACATGTATTACATAATCTTAGTTACCATCATAAAAAACTGCTTCAAGAATTGTCACCCTTGTGAAGGTAGATGAAATTGTCTAACTTTAGGCAAGCAAAAATAAGAAATTTTAAGTTTCAACACTTCTGAAACATTTTGTGAAGAAAAACCAGGGAGTTGTCTAAAAGTCAAAGTTTTGTTCAGTTTAAATATTTAACCAGTTGGAGTATTAATAGACTTTTAAGTCCTACAACTAATCTCCAAAGAAACTGTTTAAAAGCAGAATACCTGGTGTCTACGAGTAGGAAAATTCCTTATGTACCAAATTCTGTGCTCTTTCAGGCACAAAATCTGGCTGTAAAATGTGTGTGTTGAAATTTCTGAAATGCAAACATGACAAAAATGAACAAACTTGATGGGCCAGATGGATACAGTGCTAAGACAGTGGAGCAGACCATTTGCTCCAGAGAGGCAGGAAGAAGATTTGTCTTATTGCTATGGAGGGCAAGTGCCCCTGAAACACTATATGTATGTCTTTTCTTTATGATCTTTACATGTTCCTCTAAGAAAAGATTTTGAGTACTTCACTATTGATTGCCTTAAAAGAACTGAGTTTGAAATGCTGTGCACACATGAATTTCACATGTGCCAGCAAGTGCCCTGTTTGACCTCTAGTGGTTTTTTTGGAGAAAATGACCTATGAAACTGTCCTTAGAAAAGGCTTTTATTTCTTTTTTTAACATTTGGATTTTGAAGAGAAGTGTAATCTGGTTTTTATTTCTGGCACTGCCACTGGTTACTGTTTAACCATTGCCAAGCAATTTGACATTCTCAGCTGCAGTTCTGTCTTCTGTGAAATATAAAGGAGTATCTCTGGGAAGATGGGAAAGTCAAATGAGATAGAAAATAGAATAGAGCTGTACTTCTTATAAAGCGCCTTACAAATGAAAAGAACACAGTGATATCATTTTTCTCTTAATTAGAAATTAATTGTATGTTGCAAAAGATTGGCGCATTAAACAGTTCCCCTCCACTCACACAGTCATTACAAAAATCTGCAAGGGAGAAGTTTAGAATTTTTTTTTTTTTTTTGGTTTTTTGTTTTTGTTTTTTACAGGGTTGAAGGAAGGGAGTAGAGTTATATAGCTCATTCCCAAACTGGAGAAATTTTGCGTAACCAAAGTAGTTGTTTATTCTGGTGGAAAGATGACACCTACATCATTAAATTGATTTGTTTTCTGGTCAGATATAAGGTTGGGAAAAGACTCTTTTAAGAGAATAGCTGTTGAATTTAATTTTCCTGAGACCATTATAGTTGAAAATCTTGTTAGTCCAATCATTTGCCCCTTTTATTAGCAAGGTGATTCCAGAAGAGTTTATGCAGTTCAGATGACATCTTTTGGAATTAGCCTATGTAGGTACAAAGAACTTGTTTCATTTCCTGGAGAAGTCAGATGTGAGATTTCTCCCTCATTGTAATTGTCTGTAGTGTATATAAATTCCTTAAGTATAGGCACATTTCAAAAGGATGAGAGGATAAGTCTTTATGAAAATCATTTCTTCCCTTTATTCAGTTGCTGTGTGAGGTTTTTAAAGTTTCTTTGGCAGATTTCTACATAAGCACTGACTTGTAACATTTTACAAACCACATTCTCATTTTAGTCTGAAAGTATGCAAACATTCTGAATTCATTTTCCTCTTTTTTTTTTTTTTCCTTTATATGTCTTTACATATTTCCTAGAAAATTGTGGTTTAGTAATGTCAGGTGTTTTCCCAGCTGAGCCTAGACGACGATACTTAAGGGAAAAATGTATTTTTTACATTTTAATTTATTCTAATCCCATACTGAAGAAATTCTTAATAGGATATTTAAGTCAGGTGATGGAAATGAGATTCAATAAAAAAATTTATAACAACTCTGGTGCGGAAACTGGTTTCCTTCCTAGTTCAAAGCCACTTCAGAAACTGTATGAATGACCTTTTTTTTTCTTTCCTGTAGCACACACGACTATAATTTCCCATGACTATGGTCTGTACAGCGCATCTCTAACTTCCGTTTTTTTCTAAATGTCAACAGAATACTTGTTTTTTTAATGGAAAATGTTCTATTTTAGGGAAGCTGCTCTTCCTCAGACAAGTAATGGATTTTTGGGGTATAAATGTGTAAGGGGATGCAAAATTGGCAAGTGTTAAGTTAGTAGAATTGAGAGCTTGAAATAACGGTCCTAGGGATGACTCCTAATATAAAGCCTTCTATCCAAGATTAAAAATAACTGAATCTGGTGTTTCATATTTTTTTCCTTTTAGAGGAAGATTTTTAGTGTTTTCCCTTAACATATGACAGTAGTCCCAAATCCACGTTGTAAGTTTAAACGCAGATGCTTTTTGAACCAAGAGAATGGTGTGGTTCATTAGCAACAGAGATCTAGATCATGAGCTCTCTGAACCAAGATTTGACCATTTATGTATTGCTCCAGCTGCAAAGTTGAACGTCCTTTAAGCCAAAAGTATCACCCCTGACTTGTGAGCCATGGCGTAGTCTGTTCTTCCCATTCCTTTAGAATAATTTGGAACCTGATAACAGCAAGGATTCTCATCCAGTCCCCAGCTGTGCATTGTGTGTTTGTCTATGTTTCACAATAATTGGAAGAATTGTTTAGATTTTGACAGTTTTAGTTATTTTAGGTTTAAAAGTATTCTTTGTGTTTTATCCATCGTTCACTCTGCCATCTGGGAACTCTTGACAGCATTTATACTGTCTTGTGTGTTTCATTGTAAGTTTTATTGAAGTATAATATAAATACAGAAAAGTGGCCACATCGTAACTGCTGAACCTGATTTTCTCAAAGCGAACACGTTTGTGTAACAACCATCAGAGGTCTTTTTGCAAGTGGTGCCTGAAGTGAATTATTTGAAGCCAGGACCTGTCTTTTCATTTATATCTCTAAACCCATTTTCTAATATGACTGCTATTAGTTTCTAAATTTATGTAGAGCTCTAAACTAAAATTCTACTGTATCAATGAGTTTTATTGCATTTTGTCATTGTAGCCTGCGATTCCTGAATGCATCTGCAAACAAACTGGAAAACCTTCCTCCAGCTACACTTTCTGAAGAGACAAACAGTATCTTACAGGAGTTGTATTTGACAAATAACAACCTCACAGATAAATGTGTGCCCTTATTAACAGGACACCCTCATCTGAAGATCCTTCACATGGCCTATAATCGACTTCAGAGTTTTCCAGCAAGGTAAGGAAGGGTTACAAAGTGATGTTCATCTTTGCATTTCTATAAATGTATTCATAAAAGGGAAAAGGGTAAAAGCTGAAATGTTCATTTCATAAGTAATGTGAAACTCGTTTACTTGTTCCTCCCTCATTTCTATTTGTCTTTTATATAAGATATAATCAGCATTACCCTAAAGAGAAGTATACTGGTTTTTCTAATATAATACATGCAAAGACCTAGCCACTAGAATGTTAAGATTTTGAAATGAGGTATAATGTTTAATAGGTCATAGTTTTCCTTTTACGTCTCTTCATCCAGTCAAATTGATTTTTTTTAAAAAAACATTAATTTATTATAGGAGAATTAGAATGTAACCAAGGAACCTGAAAGTTCTGTACTAAGTACTAGCTTTTGTATTAATGTTTGTGGTGTAAGAACAGTAGTAGGAAAAACAGACATTGAAGAAGATATTAGAAAATGGAAGAGTATTCCTTGCTCTTGGCTAGACAGAACCAACATGGTGAAAATGGCCATTCCCCCAAAACTGTTATACAGATTTAATGCGATTCCAATCAGAATACCATTAACATACTTTATAGATTAACATACTTTATATGTTTAGAGAAAACATTCCTAAAATTCATCTGGAAACAGAGGAAACCTAGAATGGCAAAGGCAATTCTGGGCAACAAAGGCAAGACAGGACACATCTGAATTCCTGGCTTAAAATTATACTATAAAGCTACAGTAATAAAATCAGCATTGTACTGGCAAAGAAATAGACCCAAGGATCAATGGATCAGATTAGAAGACGCAAACACAACTACAAAGACACTCAGCCATCTTCTATTTGACAGAGAGGCTAAACATGTTCCCTGGAAGAAGGATAGCCTCTTTAATAAATGGTGTTGAAAAAATTGGCTCTCCACATGACAAAGACTAAAACTAGACCCATGCCTATCACCATGCACTAAACTAAAATCAAAATAGATCAGAAATCTAAATATTAAAACAGAAACACTAAATCTACTGAAAGACAAGGTAGATAGAAGCCTTGGAAAGATGGGGTAGGCAGAGAATTCATGAACAAAATGCAAACCACATGGAAAACACTTCAAAGAATCAACAACTGGGACCTCATGTTATTAAAAAGTTTTTGCACTTCAAAAGAAATCATCAACAGAGTGAAAAGAAAACCCACAGAGTGGGAAAAAATTTTAGCTAGCAACTCTTCAAACAAAGGACTTATATCCAAATATGTGAAGAATTAAAATACATCAGGCCCTCCAAATTCAAAGACCCTTTCCAAAATGGACATCTGAGATGAACACACATTTCTCAGATGAATGTTCACCATCACCGATCATTGGAGAAATGCAAATTAAAACAGCATTGTGGCTGGGGATTTAGCTCAGCGACATAAGCGCCTGCCTTGCAAGCAGGCAGTCGTGAGTTCGATCCCTGGTACCGATTTAAAAAAAAAAAAAAAAACAGCATTGTGATTTCATCTCATTCCAGAAAGAATGGCTGCCATCAAGAAATCAACTGATAACAAATGTTGGCAAGGGGAAAAAAACACTTCTCCACTGTCGGTGGGAGTGTAGACTGGTGCAGCCACTGTGGAAATTAGTATGGAGTTTCCTCAACTAATATAGGATTGGAAATTTCATTCAATCCAGCTATTTCCCTCCTTGGTATTTTCCCAGAAAAATTGAAAAGGTCATGTCACAGTGATATATATGCACACATGTTTATAGCAGCATAGTGTGTAATAGCTAAATCTTGGAAACAACCAAAATGCCCATCAACTGCAAAGTGGATGAAAAAGATGTGATATTTTTTTACAATGGAATGTTACTCAGCTATAAAAAGGATGATCTTCAGGCCTTTATTATAGGTGAATGGAGGCAACTGGAGACTATACTCATAAGTGAAATAAATAAGAATTATATTTGTAAATATCACATTGTCTCTCTAGTGTAAAATAATAAAAACTATAGGAGTAATAAGATCCGAAATGAGTAATAGCTATTATAAAAAAGAAAGGGAAGGAAAGTGCTCTAAAGGATATAACTGCATGTATGTTTCAGTGTGTAAGATAGATAACCATATTACTCAGTTTTTGTTGGATCATTGAACAGAATGGTTTGCATTCTCATTGTTTGTATACTCTTTTTTGTTGTTGTTGTCTTTTTCCTTTTTTACCGGTACTGGCGATCGAACTCACAACCGCCTGCTTGCAAGGCAGGCGCTTATGCTGCTGAGCTAAATCCCCCGCCCTGCATTCTCATTGTTTGATTGTCCACTTTTTCTATGCTTTAATTCTGTGACTTAAACAACTATTTCTAAGATGACAATATGTAATTTATCAACTCGTGATTTCTTAGCGTTAATATCTTTGAAATTCTGTATTATTTCTACTCTTTTTTTGTGGTTTTTTTTTTTTTTTTTTTTTTTTTGCTTAAAAAAAGGGCTTTTTTTTTTCTTAAAAAAAAAGCTGTAGGGCACTTACCTAGAATGCACAAAACCCTGGATTCTATCCCAGCACTACCACAAAGAAAATAAAGTAGTGGTATCCTCTACAAGCTTAGAAACTATGTGACCACAATTGATGACTCTTCAGATTTCAGTTGTATTTTTGTACATTTTAAGTTTTGGGGACAGTAGCGTAGTGTCTACTTTTAAGTATATCAAGACACTCGGCCTACTGTGAGGACTTGCTGTTTCCATTTTATCAGCATTTACCCATGTAACAAGTTAGGACTGAGAGCACATACCTGCTCTGCTGGTAACTTTAGTGTGACATAAGGACCAAGTAAAAATACTGTTAGCATAGCTTCCCTGTGCCGCCACCAGGGCCACCAGTCTGTTTGACGACCTTACAGGTGGATGAAGGCCCAAATACGTGCTGACTTCAGATTTGCTTTGTTTCTGGTAATATCTTTCTCCTAGTATCTTCCCTCATTTGATATTGATTATTTCTGTGTACTTTTACTTTAAAACGGACTGGAAAAAATACAGTAGTCACATAACAATTATATATTTGAAAGGGCTTACTGTCCTATTTCAGATAGCAGCTTTATAAAAGCCTGCAGAATTAATGCTCGTTCATTCTAATTCTGAGGCTATTCCCCTAGCAGCCCACCCTACCCTAAGTACAGATTTTTATGTACTTTGTTAAAATTCACTTTGCTACAATTTCTTTCACCTGGAGGGTTGTAATTTGATACATTAATCACTCAGAAGACCTGAGCTCCTCAAGACCCAGGACTGTGGCTATTTATCTCCTTCAGCTTCATGTGTCATATGAGGTCTGGCCTATATAGACATTGAGCAAATGGTAATGGACATGCCCTCTCTATCGAGTCATTGTTGGTCCCACTTTCTATTTTCAGAAATGGAAACTTCATTGACATTCCCTTTCTTGGATCTGATCTGTGAATCTTTGTTCATTTTCTCCTGTTATCCATTGTTATCTCCGTATTTCCATTCCATATCTCCATTATTATCTTCTCAAAATAAAAGGGTATCCTAGTCAAATAATATTTTTATGAAGTCAGGCTATCATTGGTGAATTACTTGACAGCTTGTACATTGTATTAATGTCGTCTGTAGAATATCCTGAGAGCTTATTGGATATTTATGCTATCAAAACATCTGATTTCATAAGATAAAAATGTATTTCGCAGGTACATATTTATTTTCAAGATAAGCAAATGTGATAACCTTTAATATGTGGGAGGTGACAAATGAAATTATTCTTGCTAATCTTTGTCAAGATGTGTTGTGACACATGAAATCCTAACAAGCAGTAAGGATACCAGTAACTGTATCCTAAGTGACTCAGATTATGTTAGATTAACAGGGAATCCTGCACTTCGAGTTGCTCAGCCCTCAGGGTCTGAGGAGTAGAGGTCCTATGGTGCTGATAGAGATGGAGATGTTGTTTGGTGTTCCACTCTTACAAAGACTGCATGAAACCTTGATTCTGGAATTTTTTCTTATCAATTAGTTATTTTTTTGTTTTTGGGGGTTTTGTTTTTACCAGTACCAGGGATCAAACTTACGACCACACACTAGCAAGGCAGGTGCTTATGCTGCTGAGCTAAATCCCAGCCCCTATCAATTAGTTTATTAAGGTTATAGATGATTGAAACTAAGGTTGTTGAATGAAAATGTTCAGTTATATTAGTATTATTAAAGTAAAGTTGGAGTGCTTTGTAGTGTTTAACAAGAGTCAAAAGAAATTTCTTCAGGGCCAGTTTGTATTTAGGTACTGCCAGGAGGCCAAGAGATATTCCAAATGGTTATCAACATCCCCCAACTCTTCGGCACCACCTTGTAATCATATGTGATAGAGTGATTTGAGGTGCAGGGTTTAAAAGGAAAGCCTGTCTTAATAGGAGCTACTGCTTTGTTCTTTGTGTCCCTTTGAGCTTTCAGTGCCACTGGAAAGAACTAAAGAACTCATGTTCTCAAAGTTAGCTCTTTTAAAGCACTTATATTGGATTAATGCTGTCTTTTGACCCATTTAAGGAGAATTCTCTTTGGAGTTCAGATTAAGCTACATAACTTAAACACTAAGTTGTCAAGTAACTTAAGCACAAGTTTAGGTGGAAAAAAATTGTTTTTCTTCTTGTTACCAGTTTGATTAAATTTTTGTTCTGTGATAGGAAAAGAGATAAAATTCTTAAATATTTGAAAATGATGGTAAAATAAAGTCATTTGTAAAAGTGACTATTACAAGCCAGACTTTAAAGTCCACATTGATTCTGATCTTGTCATTGTGTGTGTTTAACTTGCCTTATAGTAATTCTGTAAATCCTTTCTTTATGAGCTTTATTTTCTTTTTTTTAGTAAAATGGCAAAACTGGAGGAACTTGAAGAAATTGATATCAGCGGTAATAAATTGAAAGCCATCCCAACCACGATCTTGAATTGCAGGCGCATGCACACTGTGATTGCTCACTCTAATTGCATTGAAGTCTTTCCTGAAGTTATGCAGCTCCCAGAAATCAAGGTATGTGGGCTGATTTCATGAACTGTAGGCTTCGAGTCAGTAGAGAAGGTGCATTTCCTTAATTCTTGAGCTCTTCACATTTGTACCTTTGTTGTATTTAACTCAAATTGAAGACCCTCAATAGTTATTGATTCAAAGGGCTACATTGTTGAGTTAGCAAGAGTTCCAAGCCAAAAGCTGAACTGGATGTTTGAAATTATACTCCTGGGCTGTTGGCATGATATGAGGATAGTTACATAGCCAACCAGTGCTTTTTTCCTGTCTAGCAGTACTTTTTTATTTCCAGAGTTGTTATATTAGTCAAATAATGATTCAGGTATGAAACAGTTTGAAAAGATTAATATTACCACTGCCTATTCCTAACTTACCTTATTAAAGAGCATAATAGCCAAACAGTGATAATTCCTTATACACACAATGTGTCATTACCAATTTTTTCAGCTGAATGAAATGAAAACAGTAGATACTATTCCCATTTGATAGATGAGAACATTGAGGTGCTGAAAAACAATGAAGCATTTTATGAAGCCAGCAAATTGATAACAAAGGCAGTCTGCAACTTCTGGCTTAGGATAGATTTATGGATTGAAAAAAGCTCACTAGAACTAAAGCTGTTTCACAGCTTTATAGTTCTAATACAGTTCTGTGTCTGTATTTTATTGTTTCTAATTATCTTCAAATTTATGCTTCATAAAAATTCAGTGCTTACAGACCTGGACCATAGTCTTATCACTTAAGGGTTAAAAGTAATAGCTATTTTAGCTGTACTTCCCTCTGTAGGTACTCTGTTATAATCTCATATATCAGATTAAAACGTTACATATGCGTATGAATATACTTTAAATAGCATTTTGCGTCATACAGGCTCTGAACATTTATTTGGTTAAGGGATATACCAGCTATTTTCTAAGTGTGCTCATATGCCTGTTTCCAGCAATGAAGAGTTTTGCTTTGGGCTTTAAGAGCACTGTATGTCACCGCGGCAGTTCAAAGTGTTCATTGTAAACTGCCAGAAAGACTGTACTTTTGATTTCATAGCGGTGAAGAGCAGGTCTTTCACATTTGGATCCAGGCTGAAAATTACCTCAATGCTCTGTTTCTTCATGAAAAATGAAGAAAAGAATCAAATTTCTTTCACAGACTGTTAGGAGGATGAAATGAAATGAGAGATATAAAGCTTTTGAAGTAGGAATGGTACCTAGGTAGAACTCTCTCTAAATGTTACCTACTTTTTAAAGCTTATTTTTTCTTTGTAAAGTTTTCATTAATACATGTATGTGGTAGATATGCTCATATTTATTATGAGGAGCTGATGCATGCACATAACTCATCTTAATTTTTTGTGCTACCCTCCCAAATCCTTCCCTGCATCTCCTGGTGCCTTTTTTTTAATCTGCAAAAGACTGTCTCTTAAAAAAAAAAAAAAAAGACTGTCTCTTGTTTCCTGTTGTCTATCTTTTATTTTGCTCTTTATTTATATTTTGAGTTTCTCATATGAGCAAAACCATGTAGCATTCAGACTTGTATGTGATGCACATAACAGTGTGATCTTAGGGTATATCTATTATTCTACAAGTGACTTAAGTTTAACCTTTATGGCAGAGTAGTACTCCATTGTGTATAAATATCACATTTCCTTTATCCATGTATCTGTTGATAGGACATACGGACCACTCTCAAGATTTAACTATTATGAACTGTGCTGGTATAAACATGGATATGCACATGTCACTGTAATATGATGTCTTTAATTCTGTTGGGAAGATACCTAGAAGGGGAATAACTGGGTTGGATGTTAAGAATTTGTAGTTGTCATTATTTTCTTCTCCTCCTCCTCCTTCAAATCCTTTAATATCTGTACAGCATAGTTCACAATCCCACCAACAGTGAAGAAAGATTCTGTTTTCCTACAGCCTTGCCAGCATTTGTTATTATTTCACACTTTAATGACAGCCATTCTTTCTAGAGTAAGGTGGAATCTCAGTGTTGTTTTAATTTGCATTTCTCTAATGGCCAGAAAGTTGAACATTTTTTCATATACTTATTGGCCATTTGTACTTCTGAGAAATGTCTGTTCAGTTGTCCCGTTTTTTATTCTTTTATTTTGGTGAGGTCTGATTTTTTTAAATCCTTCCCATTTTCTAGATATTAGTCTTTTGTCTAGGGAGCAGCTGACAGAGATATTTTTCCATTCTGTAGGTTGTTGCTGTACTTGTTGGTTGTTTCCTTTGCTATGCAGAAGCTTTTAATTTGATGTGATCCCATTTGTTGATTCTTGGTATTAATTCTTGTACAATTAGATTCAGTTCAAAATGTCCTTACCTATGCCTATATCTTCAAGAGTTTTACGTATTTTATCTATCAGCAAGTTGTTTTAATTTTAGTTTAGCACATGATGAGAGATACAGGTCTAGAGTTACTCTTCTGCATGTGGACAGTGCATTTTCCTAGCACCATTTCTTGCTATGTTTTCCTCCAGTTCCTCAGAGATTGTTAAACTGGTCTCTGTACATTGATGAGCTGATGCTCTAATCCAGAGAAGAGTAGCAGAGACTCCAGACTAACCTTCTATTTACTAGTTAACTTCTCTACCTAACTTTTAATTTCATAGACGTTGTTGTTTTTTAAGATATGGGTTAAATTAGATAACATGTGTAAACCTGGGTTCACTCTTCAGTACAAAAGATGCAGACCAAAACAAGACAAATAGATATCTAGCAGGTGAAAGCCAAATGTCTCCCAATGTTGTGTAAGTCCCCACATTCTAGATCAGTGCCTTCTATTCTATTGAATCCCCTCCCCTGTTGTCTTCTTTCTGTACTATACTCACAATTCCTTTTAAAATGTTACTTCTGTCCAGGTGTAGTGGTACACACCTCTAACCCTATGGTGGGCTGAGGCAGGAGTATCACAAGTTCAAGGCCATTGTAGATAACTGTCTTGGTTACTTTTCTCTCGTTGCTGAGACAAAATAGTTAATACCCAAAATTAAGGAAGGAAAGGTTTTTTGGCCTTCAGTTTTTTTGGAGGTTTTATTAATACTCAGCTGGCTCCAAGTCAAGGTGGCATGGCTAAGGGGCAGCAGTTCATGGCAGCCACAAGCAGCAAGAGCAAACTGGGCAAAAAGGGGAAAAAGTACACCTCCTCCCTCACTTATATTGTATGCCTGTCTTAGTTACTTTTTACTCGTCGCTGAGACAAAATACCTGATGCCCAAGTTGGGAAAGGAAAGGTTTATTTCTTACAGTTTTTGGAGGTTTCAGTCCACACTCAGTTGGCTCCAAGACAGGCGGGCATGGCTGGACCACAGTTCATGGCAGCCGCCAACAGCAAGCTCGAACCAGCAAAGAGAAAGACACACCTTCTTCCTGCCATTACATCACATCCTGGCTCCACCCCTAGTGGGTGTAGCACTAACACCATCAATCCAAGCACTAGACAATGAACCATCACAAATACACAGTGCAAGCTCATGAGGCCTGGGGGACACAAACGTAAACCATGACAATGCCTATCCCTGGGGGAAGGGGTGTAACACTCACACTGTCAATCCAGCAGTAGACAATGAACCAATCAGAAACTCTAGATTCAACCACCTGCATGACTGCCTGAGGCTCTGGGGGGATGTCCAGACACAAACAGTAATAGCAATTTAGCAAGACCTTTTAAAATAAGAAAATAAGGGGATGAGGATTTAGCTCAAAGGCACAAATGCTTGGCAAGTGTGAAGTCATAAATTTGATGCCCAGTACAAAAAGTTAAAAACCCAAGAAAATAAAAAGGGTTTTATCATTTTAGCTCAGCAATAACCCCTGGGTTCAATCCTATTAACAAACACACACACACACAGTTCTGACATTGCTTTTTAAGTGGTTTTCTCCCCCCTCCACCTTTTTTTGAGATAGGGTTTCACTGTGCTTTTTAGGCTGGCTTTGATCTTATTTTGTAACCCAGACTGGCTTCGAACTCCCAGCGATCCTCCTGCCTCAACCTCCAGAGTGCTGAGATTATAGGCATGTGCTTCCATGCCTGCTGGTTTCTCTTCCGTTATCCTTTGATTCCACCTTCCCTCCCTAGCTGTCATATCAAGGCATAGTCAGTATTTTTTATATCTAACTCTTCCATTACCCATAAATGTAGGTTTTGTGGTTGAGCTTTTGGGGAGGGGATGCAGTTTGAGTAATGTCAGTTATTCATGCACAATAATATAAAAGAAAGTCTTTTAGTCCTGGACAAATAGTTTTATAGAAAAATTAGTTGTTTTAGTCCAGAGTGGTGGACACACCTGTAATCTCAGTACTCAGAGACTGAGACAGGAGGATCCTTGCAAGTTTAAGATCAGCCTGGACTACAAAGTGAGCTCAAGGCCAGCCTGGACTGCATAGTGAAACCCTGTCTCAAAAAGACAAAAAAAAAAAAAAAAAAGTTGGGTTGTTTTAGAACTCTGAACTGGTATTTTAGTGTTTCGTATGAGAACATTTTAAGTTACAGTATAATTGTTTGAAAACATTCTCAGTAAAAATAGTATATTTTGAGTGATAAGCATACATATGGAAGTCTTCATTGCAAAATGATTCCTAAAGTATACTTTTAAAATGAATAGTTTTATTTCTAGGAGGATATATTCTAGCCTGTATTAAATAGTTTATTTTAATGTGTTATTGAGTTAATACCCCTAAAGTTTATTTATATTACTTTTGGAAAACAAAGTGTAATAATTGTGAATTGTAAAGTGTCTTATCAGTGTACTGTTGTTCTAGGATCATTGCAATTATAAAAACAACAGATAACATTTAAAATGATAAGAGCATGGTGCATATAGCCAGATAGTTCTTTCTAAGCAGCATTATCTTCTCAGACAGTAAATGAAAATGTTTATCCACAGCTTTATTACCAAAACTTTCAAAACAATTATTTAAAAGGACAAACAAATCTCTGTACTAAAATATGTATGCTAAAATGTTTTTTAAAAGCACTATGACTTTTTAAAACACTTGAAA